ATTACTGAAAGCTTTATGTTAATAGAGACATTACTCAATAAAATTGCAATTAATTTAAAACATCATTTCTTAAAGCTTTAGCCAAAAAAGAAGGGAAAAAGGAAATGATTCACTGACAAGGTGCTTGCTGTTGTCAGCAGCCCTCAGTTCTTCACCATGTGCTTCTATCATGTGCAGTCCAAGAGAGAGCAAGACAGAAGATGAAAAGTCTTTTAGACTTTGTTAACGAAGTCACATATTGTCACTTCTGTATTTTATTATAAGTGTGTCAGTAGTGCAGTTCATAGTCAAAGGAAAGGGAATTAAGCATCTTCTCTTGAAGAGGTGAGTAACCACTACACTGCAGGTGTGTATATGGATTGAGGTGAAGGAGGGATTCATTTATAATGTTTGGCTTCTTTGTAGGATACTGCCTTAGGAAAACCACGAGAAGTGTTTCGACTTCCTACAGATTTGACAGCATATGACAATCGCCTTTGTGCATCTATCCACTTCACATCTTCTTCCTGGGTTACGTTATCGGATGGCACTGGAAGGTTGTATCTCATCGGTACAGGTGAACGTGGAAATGGTGCTTCTGAAAAATGGGAGGTGAGTTTTTGGTTGTTTTTTTTTTAGACTTGAGCAAGTCTGAAAATTACATCTAAATTATCCCTTAATGATTTTGAAATAATGCTTTTTAGGGGTAGTTTCCATGTGACATCTTGGTTTTTTATAATATATAATGTTTTGGATATCTTTTAAATTAAAGTATAAGATGTATGCCTTTTACAAAACTGGTGTGTTAACCATTCCTGTTTTGATTTGGGGTCAGTAATATTGTCAAGAATTGAATTCATTTGTCAGCAAATACAAAGTGCTCTATACGTGTAAAACAGTACACTAAGCACTGATACTGCCTCCTAAGAGTTGGCCAGAAAATTACATTGGGATGTCTTTTCTCCTCTGTCATGTTGTATATTCTGGCATGTTTATAGGCCTGGAACACTTCTGCTCTGCTGCTCTGCTAAGTTGTCTGGTATGTTTATACTAGTCAGACCGTGAGTTAGTGAGTTATCAGAATATTTATTCCCTGCTTAGAAAAATGCATATAAATATAGTAATATGTCAGTCTCTGCCATTTTTACTTCAGTTTTCTTAAAACAGTGTAGCAGACTTAAATATGAGGAGCGGGTTAGGATTTTAATAGTAATACATAAGAAGTTTATTTCTCTAGAGTCACCGTTTTTGAAAGTGAAAAACAATTATGTTGAGTTTTACTACTAAGTGTTCTATGCTATGCTGTAGCCTTAATCTCAGCAGGTAGCCTTTAGTTCTGGGTAGATGGTGATACAAACTTAACATATTTACATCTTAAAAAAGTATTTTTATCAGACCAGTAAATGCCTACCAAAGACCAGACTTTAATTATTTGAGAGAGAACAAGAAGGCCTTAGAGTGATTTTAAGAGTTTCAAGTGATTTACCTTTCTTACTAACTTACTCTAAACAATACACCACCAGATTGTAGCACATTAAAAAAACACAATAAATGACCAGAGTAGCAATAGTGTGTTTACAGAGGTCCTTTGCAGGCCTTTGCAATCAGTCTCAAATATTAATTGGACCTTGTGGCATTTTCTGCCTTGGCTCCAGTAATAATTTTTTTTTCACTGAGGTAACATGGTATATAGCACAGCTGCCTGAAACAATTGGAAGGAGTTTAGGAAATGATGGGCAGGAGAAAGTTGAATGAGAATTTATCTGCTACCAAGCTATGTGGATTCATGGGGTTTTGAGCAGGAAGAGACTCATGGACCTGGCTTTACCTTCAGTTTAAAAATAATACCACATTCTCCTCCAGAAGTAAATTCATAAGGGTTTATATTTACAATTAATTTGTTTTCTGCTATGTATATCCCCTTGGCACTTATTAGATCTTCAATAGTATTTTTCAAATCAAAAATTTAAATCTGCTTCATGCCCTCTTCAATATACACTGCTATAGTGATATAAGGAGCCCTCTAAGATGTTTTCAGTTAATAATTGTCATTTGGGGAGGTGGGGAGTGGGAAAGGGATGGGACTTGGACATTAACTGAGATGGGAGAGCTATCGTGGAATACTGGTCACTTTAAGAGAAACAACTTAGAATAGTTTCAGGATTTGGGGGGAATTGGTGTAACAGGTGTAAGAGGAAGCAAATGGTGGGAGTGATTGGGGGCATGGTAGTGTGTAAGAGGGCCAAGCAAGGGTGATGACAACTGAAGTGCACAAAGAGAAATAAAAGGAGACAGGAAGACTGCCTGCTTTCCAAATGTGTCCCCTGTAATATGATAGGATAGGATATGTAATGTCCTGAGGTTGCTGGGCTCATTCAGGAGACAAGAAGCTTCACCCTAATTAGTTAAGTCCAGACATGCATGCCTGTGGTCTCCTTCCGGTCCCTTTCACTCATGTGAGAAAAAAGAGGAAGAAACAGTAAACTGGCTGTCTGTATCTGCAACACTTAACTTTTTTCCCTTCCTTTTCTTTTGCCTCCCATTGTCCCCAAACAAAAGTAAACACCTGATCAGCAAACTAAAAACCTGTCTTGATTAACTCTGTTTTGAGTAATTGATGTTTTTGTTTGTTGTTTCTGCTTATGAAGAACTAGAATGGATTCCAGAGGTTTTCTGTTTGAATAATTTTAGCAGAGGTGCTCAAACACATAGGGAAATTGAAGACAGAGCACAATTTTCTTTTAAAGACTTCCAAGTAGGAGCAGATAGGGTGAGATTTCAGACAAAGGTTTAAAAAAAGAAGGAGCTTTCCTTTTTCAGTTGGGTGTTCCTTCAACTATTTCTTGATTCAAATATCTTATTTAGAAATCAGTCTTAAAATGTCTCTTATTTAGTATTTACTCATAAAAATAGTCTTTCAGGCTATGTGTTTGTAGTATAAAGAAGACTGATAAGAGTTTGTGTCTATGATTAGATTTGCTTTTTAAGAGCAACTTAAGTATTATATTTTGGATAGAGTTTGTTGAATTATACCTTTTAAATGGAAATGGCTCTTTTGTCAGAAACTTATTTGTCCAGTATAAGTGATAACGTTCTCCAATTCCTTTGACTCTGACCTTTCAAACTTCCAAAAATAAAGAAAAACAAACTAAAAACAAAAACAATAGGAAAAATGTGTGTGTGCACACACGTACTCAATCCAAGAAACTAAGAGGACAAAAGCAAAAGCAAATCATATCTGAGTCAAAGGAAGAGATGAAGGAATGAACATCGATCTTTGACTAAAGCACCATTTTTCAGTTGATAATTCTTTTCTAGGAGATTGCTTTTAGTTCTTTCTCCTTTAGATAGTGCTTTGATGCCCTCTTGCTTTCATTGTTTTTAAGAGAAGAATACTGATCAGTTTTCTCTGCTAAACAAATAGATATTTTTTAAAAGTTCTTTCTTCAAGGAATATTATTTGAATTTGCAATCTTTATTTAAGGACTTTTTTCATTTTTATATTCCTTATAATAAGTAGTATCCAAATTAACTGTTGGATGGCCAGAATTCTGTGTATTCCCTCTGGTTTATCTTCATTTGTGTAATGTGTACATTTTTGTGTGTGTTTATGTAATTTTTTTTTTTGTAGATTATATTTAATGAAGAGCTTGGGAATCCTTTTATCATAATTCACAGTATCTCATTGCTGAAAGCTGAAAAACATTTAATAGCTACTCTACTTCTTCGAATAGAGAAAGAGGAATTAGATATGAAAGGAAGTGGATTCTATGTTTCTTTGGAGTGGGTCACAATCAGTAAGAAAGACAAAGGTAAAATATAACAAAATTATGATGCTGTAAGGATTGCTGTTATTTAGTACATTTTGAAATGCAAAGCTGTTCCCGTAAATGCTGCTGGCTTTTTCATGGGCACTGTGTTTCTTGGGCATTATGACTCTAGTACCTGCCATCCAGTGGAATGAATATCCGTAGGTAGTTCCTCCTTAGGTATGGTTCATTTAAAAAAAAAGTAATGTGCTTCCATAGTCAGTTATGCCTTTTTTTAATAAAAGAAGACATTATTACATGATTTTTGAAGAATTTAAAGCATACACTTTCAATATATGCAAATATTTATATAGAATTTATATAAAACTAAATGTAACTTAATTATAAATTATAGAGTAATTAAAATATAAATATAAATACCTAGATGGAAAAAATAACTTTATTTTCTTAAACTACAGATGTGATTTTTTTTTAATTTAATTGATCTTTGTCACTTGTTTCTACCCTCAGGAAAACTTAATTTTTCTCACCCAGGGTACTTCCAAGTGTAGAAATCTTGGTCACTTTGGAACTGTCAGACTTCTAACTTGGACATTAAAAATTACTTTTTTCTTTTTAAGTAGGATTCCTTTTTAATACTGTGGCTTTGCCCTGTAGTTAGTTCTCACTGACTCACCAAGTGATTTTTTCTATGGTTAAGAACTAAGGAAGCTTGTTTCCATGATGACTCTGCTCTTTTCCTGTTTTATTAATTTACTCATTTAACTTATGTATCAGTCTTAAATTACACTGATTGCTAGAAAAAGATTTCTTTATCATAGCTGCTAGTTTACAATCTGATAAAAGCTATTAGTATTTGTGTCTTAAGAGGACTTTCTCTTTTATTTTCAAATGAACATATAATATATACCATATATATGTATATAGTGTGTGTGTGTATATATGTATATATCAGAATAGTTTATAAGTAAGATGAATAAATATCCTCGATTTGTTCTTTGAAGTATTTAATGTAATTTGTTTGTTATTCTTTCCAGTATTATAGTTTCATCTCTGGAGGAACACAGTAACTTAAAGTGTTAGAAAACGTTTCTGTGAAGGACTAGATGGTAACCGTATAATCTGTGTCACAACTACTCAGTTTTGCCGTTGTGGTGCAAAATCAGCCATAGACTATATAAATCAATGAGTATAGCTGTATTACAATGATACTTTACTTAGGGACATTGGCATTTGAATTTTATATAATTTTTACATGTGTTGAACAGTATTATTTTGATTTCTTTTAACTATTTAAGAATATAAAATTAGTTCTTACCTCACAGGCCATAGTTTGCCAATCTCTGCTTTAGATAATGGAAACTTTAATTTTTTTTATTAAGGTATATAAAAAACAGGAAATCATCCTGTGTGTTCTTCCTCTTTTTTTGCAAGTCACTTGTCTGTGATACCAATAGCTCAGTCCACAGTAACTCTCATCAGATGGCCTCAGATCACAGTGACACTCTTCTCTAGCTCCCTCACCTCCGGCATATTTGTTTCCTTGCCTCACCTAGACAGGTATATTTAGACTCACCTTTTCTTTTCTCTCCCAAGGTTTTAATTGTAGGATCATTAATTCTCTCCATTCATTTTATCTTTCATTTCTCTTCTAAATGTTTCATTCCTTTTCCCCCCAACTTACAATAATATAATTGTTACTCTTTTCTTTTTTAATGAACATAACAGTGCAGTATTTTTCTAAACTGTTGAGAGAAACATTTGATAAATTACATTTTGTGGTTATATAATCCCATTATACATTAAGATAAGCGTGTTAAAGTTATCAAAAATTTTGAGCAAAAAAAGAAAATTTAATTTTAATTCAGCATTTTCCAACTTCTTTAACTATGGAATTCACTTGAAACTGCCTATTATTTTCTGTTGCACACATATTGGAAAAGCCATACTACCATAGTAGAGTCTAAGTTTGTTTTTAGAGATGGGTAGGACTCTTGGCCCTGCATATACTATGGAGGAAGTATAGGGGTTTTCAGTTCATTCATGAAATTATAAGTCAGTTCTTAAATCTATGAAATGAATGTGTATATGAATGTAGGTTATGATTTAGAGAAGAAACAATACCGGATGTTTTAACATTGTATTATTGTGTAAGATATATGACAGGCTATGATTTTTGACTATTCAGCATGAAAGTTACAATTATAATCAACTTTAATAGAAAAATATGTCAAGATATGGACTCAATTCAAATATTTGAGTACTTTTTATTTAAAATATCATGGATATACAATCTTACAAAGGTTTCACATGAACAACATTGTAGTTTTAATATTCACCCATATTATCAAGTCCTCACTGCCCACCCCCCATTACGGTGATTATCAGCATAATAAGATGCTGTAGAGTCATCACTTGTTCATGCTGTACTGCCTTTCCCGTGACTTACTTATATTGTGATTGATACTTATAGTGTGCCTTAATCCCCTTCTCCCTCCCCACCTACCCTCTCTAACCCCATCTAATATGTAACCACTAGTCCCTTCTTGGAGTCTGTGAGTCTGCTGCTGTTTTGTTCCTTCAGTTTTCCTTTGTTGTTATACTCCACAGATGAGTGAATTCATTTGGTACTTATGTTTCTCTGCCTAGCTTATTTCACTAAGCATAATACCCTCTGGATCCATCCATGTTATTGCAAATGGTAGGGTTTTTCTTTTTATGGATGAATTATATTCCATTGTGTATGTATATACCACATCTTTCCATTCATCTACTGATGGACACTTAGGTTGTTTCCATTATCTTGGCTATTGTAAATAGTCCTGCAGATTAAAGATGGTGGGGTGAGAGGTGAGACAGAGACCTCCTCCCAAAACCACATATAATATGAAAATCTACTTAATGCAACTAATCCTGAAATAACAATGGGAAAGAAGCTATGCCACACTGCATAAACCTGGAGAAAAGAACAAACCTCATGGAACAGGGTAACATACCAAAGCAGTAATCCAGCAGGACCCAAGCCCTTCCACCACCCCAGCTTACAGGCAGGAGGAAGAGAAATGGAGCAGAGAAGGGGTGGAGGCCTAGGACTGCTGAACACCCAGCCCTGGAGATCTGCTCTAGGAGCATGAGCCTACATTACATGGTGCTCTGGATATTCATGGGGCTGGAAAGCTAAGACAGGTGGAATACTTGGAGAGACTGAGATTCCAACCTCTTGTGGAAAACAGGGATCCACATCCAGCTGCTCTGGGAGAAAAGAAAGGCAGGCCGTTTGAGAGACTTCCTAACAGTTTGAGAGGGCTGCTAAAAGGGCAAGGACATCACAGAGCTTGCTGTTCAGGAAAAAGGACAGGTAGACAAAATTGTCCAGGCATACTGTGCCCAGCAGGTTGGGAACTTTCAGGATCCTCAGGCTCTCTATCCCCCTGGCTAGCCCCACAGTTCTGAGACCCCCCCACCATGATACACAGCCTTCTGTACCTTCTTCCCGGCTGACACCAGATCATAAACTGGCTGCTCCCACCATTGCACCAGGCCAGCCAGAGGGCAGCCCCAACTACAGTAGCTACAAGTGCAAAGCATAGAGGCATCACCCTGTGTGCTCGGCCCACTGACACTGGTAGTACAGCTGGGAAGCAGGAAAGGCGTCTTTACTCCTGATGGGCACCAGCGCCGCTGGCCATGATGCCCTCCATTGCTTTAGGGGCTGAGCAGCTGCAAAGAGTAGAGCTTCTGGGCACTAGAGGATGCCACATACACACATGAAATTTCAAAGGAACCTGGTTCGAACCAAAATCCCACAAACACCAGAAAAAGAGCCAAGTGAAACTGATCTCATCAGTCTTCCTGAAAGAGATTTCAAAATAAACATCATAAATATGCTCACAGCAGTACAAAAAAAATACTCAAGAACTGAGGGAACACTTCAGGAATAAGATTCAATCATTAAAGAATACAGTATCTGAAATGAAACATATAATAGAGGGATTTAAAAGCAGATTAGATGAAGTAGAGGAGATGGTAAATGAAATAGAAATTAGAGAAGAAGAATAAAAAAGTTGAGACATAGAGAGAAAAAACGATCTCTAGGAATGAAAGAATATTGAGAGAACTGTGGGACCAATAGAAAAGGAAAAATATTCTCATTATAGGGGTACCAGAAGAAGAAGAAGTGAGAGAAAAAGGGATAGAAAGTGCCTTGAAATTGCCTTTGAGGCAATAATTGTGGAAAACTTCCCCAATCTGGGGAAGAAGATAGTCTCTCAGGCCATGGAGGTGAACGGATCTCCCAACACAAGAGCCCCAAGGAAGACAACACCAAGACATATAATAATTGAAATGGTGAAAGATCATGAATAAGGACAGAATATTAAAAGCAGCCAGAGAGAGAAAAAAAGATCACCTACAAAGGAAAACCCATCAGGCTATCATCAGACTTCTCAACAGAAAGCTTACAGAACAGAAGGGAGTGGCATGATGTATTTAATGCCATGAAGCAGAAGGGCCTTGAACAAAGAATACTGAACCCAGCAATTTTATCATTTAAATTTGAAGGAGGGATTAAACAATTTCCAGATAAGCAAAGGTAAGAGAATTTACCTCCCACAAACCGTCTCTACAGTGTATTTTTGAGGGAGTGCTATAGATGGAAGTGTTCCTAAGGCTATAGCTGTCACCAGAGGAAAGAATACCACAGTAAAGAAAGTAAAACAATTAATTACTAAGCAGATGTAAAATCAAATGAACTACCCCCAAAGCCAGTCAAGGGATAGACAGAGTACGGAATATGATACCTAATATATAAAGAATGGAGGAGGAGGGAAAAGGAGGAGAAAATAACCATTTAGACTGTGTTTGTAATAGCATACTGAGTTAAATTAGACTGTTAGATAGTAAGGAGGTTCTCCTTGAACCTTTAGAAACCACAAATCTAAAGCCTGCAATGGCAATAAGGAGAAAAAAGCAGGAGTTGCAATACTTGTATTCTTCAAAACAAAGAAAGTCACAAGAGACAAAGAAGGACATTACATAATGAT